CCCGTGCGGCTCCTGCAGCGCCTGCCCTGGGCAGCAGCGCCAGGATTTTCACCCTGAGGGGGCAGAACGAGACCAGCAGGGCTGGGGGTTTGTTTGCGGGGCCTTCCCAGGGCTGGTGCTGCCTTTCTCTTACCTGCCTTGCTGTGAAGACTTAAGTGTTTTCTGACAGAAACCCTGGTCTGTGTGTGCGCAGAGTGAAACACACACCTGGCCAGAACCCCCAGACCCAACCCGCCTGCCTGGCACCGGGTGCTGCTCCAGGCAGCGACAGTGCAAGGGGCTTTGCTGGGAGAAGTTGTGTTTAAACCCCACAAACCCCAGTTGGTGCTGTGAGCTGGGGAGGGGAAGGGTAGGTTCCCAGGTGTTGAGGAGTGAAGGGGTTTATTTGCACCCAAGCTGTTGGTGGCAAAGCCTGAGCAGCTGCCCCAGAGCTGGACTTCAGTTTATAGCAGAGCATATTTCTTTACATCTTAATGCACCTCTTCTCTAAGCAAATACACCCGTGTGTCCACACCCTCTCCTGCTGCTGGTGTCTGCAGGTGATTAAACTTCCAGTGATGGCACTTGACAGGCCCTGATCCCATCACCACCAGCCTGGAGGTGCTGGAGTTGCTGACTGAGTTTCTGTGGCCCCTTGCAGAGTGGTCGTGCTTTCCCTGTGACCCATCTGGTTTAGGGGTTGATGCTGGCACAGATGTGTCTGTATTTCAGTGTTTGTGCTGACCAGTGATCTTGTGGGGGGTTTTGGCAAATGCAGCTCTCCTGCTGCATGGACTCTCCAAAGCTGAGACCACCCCAAGGGTGAACAACTGTGTGTTGTTGTTCACCAACAGGAATAGAGAGGAGGGGAAGAAGTGGTTTTGGGAGAGGGACTGAGTGTGAGTTGTGCCGTGGTGGGACCCCAGGGTCGGTGCCTTTTCTTCTCCCAGGGAGGAATCCAAGCCTTGGTCATACCCTGCTGCTCCTGCCCAGCACTGACACACACAGAGAGTCAGAAACTGTAGGAAAACTCTTTTACTTCCCTCTCACCCCTTCTGTGACTCCCTCCCTGTGGCACAGACCGTGGCAGTCGGGAGCCCTTCCCTGGGGAAGGCTTAGTTCCACACCAAAAAAACCCAGTTTATACAGAGGAAAGCAAGACTTACAGCAGAGAAAAACTCTCGGGTGGGTTCCAGTCACAATGTGCTGGACAGCAGACCCATGCACAGTACACACAACAGCTACAGGTACAGAGGGGTGTATGTACAGGAGGGGGGCAGTGCAATGCTGCTTGGGGGGGTGTAACCCCCAGGTCATTCCCAGCTTGGCAGGGAAGGGCTCTTGCATTTAGTAGAGACCAAATCTCCCCTTCCCTCACCCTGCAGAAGTCTCCTGTCAATGTGGGAGCAGCCTCTGGGGTCCCTGTGTGGTGCCACCAGCTGCCCGGCAACTGTGTGTTGTTGTTCACCAACAGGAATAGAGAGGAGGGGAAGAAGTGGTTTTGGGAGAGGGACTGAGTGTGAGTTGTGCCGTGGTGGGACCCCAGGGTCGGTGCCTTTTCTTCTCCCAGGGAGGAATCCAAGCCTTGGTCATACCCTGCTGCTCCTGCCCAGCACTGACACACACAGAGAGTCAGAAACTGTAGGAAAACTCTTTTACTTCCCTCTCACCCCTTCTGTGACTCCCTCCCTGTGGCACAGACCGTGGCAGTCGGGAGCCTTTCCCTGGGGAAGGCTTAGTTCCACACCAAAAAAACCCAGTTTATACAGAGGAAAGCAAGACTTACAGCAGAGAAAAACTCTCGGGTGGGTTCCAGTCACAATGTGCTGGACAGCAGACCCATGCACAGTACACACAACAGCTACAGGTACAGAGGGGTGTATGTACAGGAGGGGGGCAGTGCAATGCTGCTTGGGGGGGTGTAACCCCCAGGTCATTCCCAGCTTGGCAGGGAAGGGCTCTTGCATTTAGTAGAGACCAAATCTCCCCTTCCCTCACCCTGCAGAAGTCTCCTGTCAATGTGGGAGCAGCCTCTGGGGTCCCTGTGTGGTGCCACCAGCTGCCCGGCATGTGGGGGGGAGCCAGGGGACCCCCGAGGGGCTGGGTCTGACTCCCTCCTGTGTGCACAAGGAGGGGCTGATCTGCAGCCACAGCAGAACACGGGCTGCAGTGTCTCCACAGTGTCAGTATCACAAAACCTTTTGCATGTCCAGTATCTACATCTATGTACAATCACCTGCCCCTTCCCTCCCGGCCAGGTTGCCCAGGCTCTGCGTCCTTCCTCTCCTTCTGGTCACGATGCTGCAGCCTGGCTGCCCTGCCCTGGCTTTTTGTAGTCCTGAAGCAAGCAGGGAGAGGGCTGAAATCCAGCAGGAGACCCAGGTGTGAGCCTGGGGGTCAGAGGCTGGCAGGGAAGGGCAGAGGTGTCCTGGGGTGGGGAAGCAGCAGCTCTCGTTTCAGACTTAGCAGCAGGGAGGCTGGTTTGGGGTCGGCTCTGCCCTTTGCTCCTGCCTTCCTGGAGATTCCCCCTTGGAGCAGCCCCGGGCAGAGCCTGCAGCTGGTGCAGCCCCAGCAGAGGGGGTGGAGGTTTCTCCCTGAGAGGTTTGGAGTCAGCTTGTTCACAGCAAGGGCTGAAACAACCCCCTGAGATGTGAGAGTCAAACCCAGCTCCAAAGCAGCAGCAGCACAGATCCGGAGCCTCGCAGCTTCCGGAGCAGGGGATGGAGCTGGCTGGGCATTGCAGGCTGCACAGGTCACCTGTGTCTCTGGGGCTCCAGGAGGGAAGGGGCTGTGGAGTCTTCATCAAAGAGAAAGCTCTTCCTGTCGGGACAGAGTCAGGGAAGCCCTCCAGAGTCAGACAGTGGGGTTCATTAAGAGATGGTTATTTTAAAGGAGTCCAAGGCAGCTTTGGTGCTGATGTCAGGAGTTCTAGAGGTGGAACAGGAAGGCTCCAGGTCCAAACCCAGCCTCTCCCTGCCCATCAGAGCAGGGTTTGGCCATCAAGCACTGGCCATCGCAGTGCCAGGAGCCAGGCTTGGTCCGAGGTCGACACGGTGGGAAGCTGGGGCTCCTTGTCTGCACAGGGGGAAGGCAGTGGCAGGGAGGGGAAGGGGACTTGACTTCTCACAGGCTTTGGGGGGTCCATGCAGGTGTCAGGACTGGCAGTCGCTTATAAGAGTGACCCACTGCAAACACCCCCGTGAGAGCCCCAGCTGAGGCAGCCCCACAGCAAAGCAACCTTCTCCAAGGAACGTGGGATCAGATCCCTCCTCCTGCCATCCAGGGGAGCTCTATGGGACAGGCAGGTTTCTGCTTCTCATCACCTCCCATTTGTGGTAAATCCGTCCCTGCTGCTCCAGCCGGGCAGGTGGGAGCTGGGATCAGTCTCAGTTGCCTGGGGACAGTCTGTGTGTGCAGCGGGGCCGCTCAGCGCTCGCAGGATCAGCCTGCTCGCTCCGGTTTCTCGTTACACTGCCAGCAGCCCCGCCGGGCTTCTCAGAGCAGTCCCAATATGAGGTCAAGTTCCCACTAAAATTAAGTGGCTGGGCAAGAAAACTTTGTTACTCGCAGCAGCAATGGTGCCGCTGTTTATTAGTCAGCACTGAACCAGCAGAAGGTTTTATTTTGCTGGTTTTACTGCCGGCGTTGTGCTGCAGTTCCCTCCCCTGCTCGCTCCGTATTTCTCTCTCCTGCCCTTTCTCCTGAGGTGAGCTGCAGTGGGGTGGCTGTGGGGTGCCCTGGCGCCCCTCGGGAGTCTCCTCCTGCCCTAAGCAGGTGGCCTTTGGGATGTGGAGGCACCTCTGCTTCCCCTGCTCCTCACCTGCAGCCCGGTTATTCCCAGCCCGGGAGAGCCTCTGGGTGCAAAGGGGGACACGGGGTGTTTCAGACCACAGCTCTGAGCTGCCACAAATGTCACTGCCGGGGGGATTTGCCAGGACAACGCTGACCTGGGCACATGCGCTGCCGGACACGGGTCCTTCCCAGGGCTAGAAACCCGGGCTTCCCGTGTTTGCAACGTCAAAGCAGCACAGAGAGGGAACGGTCCCGGCCGGGGGCTCCTGCTGGAGACTCCTTGGATGCACGGCCGGGATCTGGCATCTCCCCCCGCATCAGCCCGGCTGCTCCTGCCGGGGCTTGCCTGCTCCTGCCGCAGGACTGCTGTGAGGTGTGGAGCTGTCCCTGCTGCTGGGGGCTGCGAACGTCAGCCCCCACGGTAGGCAGGGGGCTCCAAGCCCCCTCTCCCCTGCTGTCCTCACAGGTAACTCCCTCGCCGCCCCCCCCAGATATGAAACACCCCAAGTCGCTGCAGCTGTGACACCTCATCCTCACCGAGGGCTCCCGCCGCCCCCATCCAGTCCCCCCCAGCCCCAGCGCTGCCTCCGCGGGCGCGACACCGGCTCCTCACAGGAGCAGTAAATGTTTAAAAGGAAATAAAGGCCGAAAATATTCAGCTTTGCTCCTCAGAAAGCCCCCAAGCCCTGCGCTGTGTCTGCGGAGCTGGTGTCTGAGAGCTGCGCTGGGGAGCGGGTGCGGAGCCTGGCACTGAGCCCTTTTGGGGTGCTGAGGGGGACACAGCAGGACCTGGGGTGCCCCGGGCAGGGACGTGGGAAAACTTCTCCCAGAGCCGGTGCTTTCGGAGCACTGAGTCAGGGTGTGTGGCTGAGCCAGGTGGGACCCCAAAGCAGGTGTCTCGGGGAACGCTCATCCTCGCCTCCCCCGCCGCTTGTAGCCCGAGGTGGAGGCTCCACGGCTGCTGGGATGGGATGGGGAGGGGAGGGTGAGCGAGCCCCGGCTGGTTTCTCCACCTTAAAGGCTCGCGTTC